GAGACAGAGAGACAGAGACCGAGGTGAGACAGAGACAAAGACAGAGAGGGAGACAGAGAGACAGGGGCAGAGAGGGAGACAGAGGTAGAGGGAGAGAGGTGGAGAAAGAGGCAGAGACAGAGAGGGAGAGAAGCAAAGACAGAGGGAAACAGGCAGAGAGAAACTAAGAGAGAGGGAGAGAGATTAGGAGCAAGGGGGAGAGGGAGAGGGACAGACAGAGAGAAGAGAGAGACAGAAGGAAGACAGAGAAAGAGGCAGAGAAGGGGTGAAAGAGAAGAAGGGGGAGGGGCAAGGACAGGCTGAGCAGGGGCTGGCAGGAGGGCAGTGGCAGTGAGGAAGGGGCCGCTGCCATCAGACACACCCCGGACTCCTCCTCTGTGTCCTCTGAAGGGTGCGGCATGGACGCTGGTCCTGGACGGGCGCCTCCCCTGCCTCAGTTTCCTCCTGTGTCCGGCTGGCATGGGGCAGCAGCTCGCCACGCCTTGGCCAGGACCAGATCACATGGGGGTCCAGGGCTACTTCGGGTGAGGACAAAGCTCCCGTGTTCACCCTGCTGACCTCGGCTCCCAGAAGAGCAGGGGCGCCCCCTCCCCTGAACACAGCTGGTAGGCCAATTTCCAGGCCACGCACGGGGGGCTCCAGGACAGGAATCCACCCTCTCCCGGTCCCAGAGCCCATGAGTCTGAGGTCAAGGTGTCTGAGGGCCGTGCTCCCTCCCCCGGCTCTGACCCGCCTCTTCCAGCCCTGGGGATCCAGGCAACCCTGACCTGTGGCCACCCCGTCCCCAGCCGCCTCCGGTGTCGCACCAGCTCCCATCTCTCCTGTCTCAAGACTCCTCAGACACACAGGACAAGGGTCCTCTGTGTGTCCCAGCACCAGCACCCTTGTGCTGGATTTCAGGGCTACCTCGTCTCATCTCGATCCTTACCCAGTGACATCCAAAAAGACCGTACTTCCCAGGAAGGTGCCCTGGCAGACTCCAGGGTGGAGGCGCACGTGACACCCAGTCGCCCCAGCACAGACCCAGGGTCCGGCTCACTTTGCCCCGCTCTGCTACGGCCCTGAGTGGGGAGAAGTGGGCCCAGGGTCCACCCGGCGAGCTGTTTGCAGGGCCTGGGTCTGGGTGAGCCCTGGGACCTGAACTGGCTCCATTCTGCTGCAGCTTCTCTCCGGATCTGGCCGGCTTGTGCCCACCCCGCCACGAGCTCTGAGGCCCAGGCAGATCTCACATGCCCATTACACAGGGGGAAGCGGAGGCTTCGGGTAGGTGGGCACCACGTGACCCTCGCTCCCCAGCAGGCCCTGGGTGTGGTCCAGCCCAGCGCAGCCCCTGGCCCCGGGTCGACACGAGAGGCTGCGGTATCTGAACCGTCCCAGGGAAGCCGATCTCTGTGGCACTGGGTGCTCCAGAGCAGCCGTGAGGAAGGTGGGGCACTGGGAACCCCTTGGGGGAGGCTGTGAGGACGGGGGTGGGGTCGCCTGATGCTACATTGGGAGGCTGGGAGCCCCCAGTGACCCTGGAGAGAAGGAGGTTGAAGGTTCTCTTCCTTTGGTGTGTGAGTTCTGTTTTCAGGTGGCTGTTACGGGGTTGGGACTCCAGCGTGCAGAGTGTCTGGACCCGCCCAGAGAGAGGGCCACGGGGGCGGCGCAACGGCTGCCGAGGTCTCTCCCAGCATCGCCGTCCCCCCAACTCCCCCTGCGACATTGCCCAGATGCTCACAGGGACCCCGAAGGCCAGGCGGGGCTCACTGCTGACACAAAGGGACAATCACTGGCTCTTCCCCAAAACCAAGCCACATCTCCAGGCTCCCACTGCCCCACCTAAACCCTGTGGCAAGGGGGCGAAGCCCAGGTCGCTGAGTCCCGGACGGATGTGAGCGCGAGAGGTCAGAGGTCGCAGGGCAGCTGGAGAGGTGGCTCAGATTCCACCCTGCCCCCCACAGCGCGGTGAGCTCCTGGGGCTCCTACCTGAGCAAAGTCGCAGGTCTTTGGTGGCAAGCTGGAGGCGGTGGCCACGGGGGCATAGCTGGTGTCTGGGCAGGGCTGGCTGCCGAGGAAGGAGGCGGAACTCATGAATGGGCTGGAGGGAGAAGGGGAGGGAGACGGGGGAGGTGAGAGTGGGTGTGGGGGTTCTGGACCCACTCCCTCAGTAACACAAGCGCTCCCCCGTGGCCGCAGCCAGAGGCCCCTTGAGGCCCCGCTGGAGTGTGCCCAGGCCCGGCAGGACCCACGGCTCCGCTGCACACACGAAGGGGCCTCCAGGGGTCTGGTGGTCAAGCCTGGAGCTGCCCTTCCACCCCCACTGGACACAGCCCGGCCTGGCTCCTCAGGAACGGCCGCCAGGTGGGTGGGGGGGTGTCCAGGGCCACCATCCCGCCCTCCCTGCTCCAACAGCAGGACTCATTCTAAGGGTTCATTCTGGCGTTTCAGAATTCCTGCCTGGCCGTCCCTCCCCCACACACAGGCCCCTTGGCCCACACCTCACTCCTGCCACGAAGGAGGACAGCGCCACGGGCAGAAACCCAGGATCACCATCCTCCCAGGAAGGCCCAGGTCAGGGCTCCCCGCCCCCGTCACCCTGAGGATGGCAGAGGACACAGCAAGGAGAGGGTCCTGGGGACCCCCCACCCAAGGGCACCTCTCTGCAGACTGCAGGAGTAACATGCGGCTGGCGGGGGGCACTGGGCATTGCTGAAGGGAGTCTTCCCTGCCCTTCTCCACTCCGGCCCTCCTGGCCAGCTCCCGTGCTCGGGAGAGGGGTGGCTGCCGTCCCCAGCGCCTCCTTCCCACCCGCCAGGCTCCCCCGGCTCTCCCTCCAGCAGGCCCAGCAGCAGGCCCAGGTCCCTGCCCAGTGGGGAGCCAGAGGGCTTGGGTCTGAGCGGCCTGTGCAGAGCTGCCCCCAGGGCAGGGACGGCCTGGGGACCACTCTCCTCCTGCACAGAAAGGTTTGCAAACACCGACAGGAAAGAAGCATCCACTCCATTCCCAGGCCACAAACAGCTGCTCCACAATCTCCTGGAGTCCCCAAGGCTCTGGCTACACCTGCTCCCAAGCCCTTTGCACAGCCTGGGAGCCTGCTCGCCTAGCCAACTCCTACCTCCCCCGCAAAACCCAGCCCAGCTGTTGCCCTCTGTGGGAAAAGTGCCCTTCTGGCTCCCTTCACCCCAGAAAACCTCTCACCCCTTCCCATCCTGGCGTCACCTCCACCTCTCACCCCTTCCCACCCTGGAGTCACCTCCACCTCTCACCCCTTCTCACCCTGGAGTCACCTCCACCCCTCACCCC